AATGTAATAAAAAAATCAATTTTAAAGTGGAATTTCTAACCATTTTCTTAAATATATTTGCTTCCAGAAAAAAACCCTCCTTGTAAAATTAATATAAGAAATTATATTTTCTCTATTTAAATAGGGACGTTTAACTGTGTGTAATTTAAGGAAGGAAAGTGTTCTCAAAAAAGTACAGTACACTACGAAGAGAGAGAGGGAGTGAAGGTATTGTCTACTTGGATTGAATTTGTTCTTACAAGTCGTGTGAATGAACGTTTTAAAATCATTTCTTCGACGTCGGGGGGTCCGCGAACTATCGTACTACACGTAATTAAAAGGCAGAGGGGTTTGCCAAAAGTACGTCATTGTACACGAGACAAGAAGGGAGGGGGTCGAAAGATTGTACACGGAATTAATACACGGCCCGAGACAGATTATAAATTCGATAAGACACTTATAACATCTTTAATAAATCGTGATCTATTTACGATATACAATAAGTACAGTATTTAAATGTCGGAGTTTATTTTATCCCGTTGTGCCAAGTTCATCACACATCCTTAAAGAGAGGGAGAGAAAAATAACACAACCTCTTCACAACCTTCATAAATTTCCCCCTTATTTTACGCAATAAATTTATTTTTAAATATTTGCTACGGTTCCACTTTCCTTTCGATGATTTATTTATATTGTTTGGTGTAGTTCTTTCTCATAAATTCAACTTTGAATATAGAGCGTGTTTGTTTATTGAATATAGAACATTACTTCTTCTACTTAAGTCCTCTGATCAGACGTTTCGGGCGCTTTTTACTTTCTTACTAATTCTAGAACAAGTTAATGATTATATTTTAAAAAAATGGGAATGAAAGAACCTCCGCAAAGCTGCGAAGTGGTGTTCTCTTATAAGACACCGAAAGAACTGAAGGGAATTCGGTAATTATAAATACAATTCGCGTGATGTAACCTGGAAAAAAGTATAAATTTCATGAAAAATCTGCATTGAAATGCTCTTTTTCGGTGATTTAAATCGACTCGATGCTTCTGTTATTTGGAAATTTAATGAGGTATAAAGGAATAATCGTATGTCTTATTAAATATTATGGATTGAAGAAGACGAAGTTTAAGATATTTGCCGAAATATAATGCTAGAGACCCAGATTTAAAGACTTAATTCACAGTAGAAAGGTATGGATTTGTTATAAATGATGCTGTTTACTGTTTTAAAGTGGAAAAAGTGATATTATTTGTGTGGTGTGACGAAAAGAGACTTTATGGTAGAGTTTTGGCTTAAAGCGAGCGGTGCAGCAGAAGCTACCTGGAAGATTTGAGGAGAACGGGAAGAAGATCGCCGATGACCAGAGAGGGTGTGAATGTTGGGATAGAGCCCGGCGAAGGCGGGGTCCGGCTAACGAAGGTCAGTCGGTATCAATCATCCCGACCCGGTAATTTAGGCACGGCCGTCCAGAGAAATGTCGGGGCATCGCGTCAACAAGCGATCAGGGCGCTTTAATGTGGACGAGCAGACGAGCGGCGCAGCTGCAACCGGGTCGCCCGGACGGATGGTGATGATAGTGATTTGTGCGCGAACAAGCACGGCGCTGCCTGGAAAATAAGGAAGTTTTGCGCTATGTGTAGCTTGAATAATAACGGTCGTGCCGTCCATCCCCTCCTCCGCGTGGAGACATTAGAGCGCACACTCGCTTGGCATTGACAAATCGGCATTGTTTTAAACGACGGACACGTAACGACCGACGTGCCCCCTCCCCGCTCCCTTTGTCAATCAGTCTGGCTGACAGTTCGACTTTTACATAAACCCATTCTGCCGTATCCGCTCGTGCATAAAGTTGCTGACTATAAGTGTCACGGAGGTGACACAATTGTACCATCTGTCGCCAATGATGACCATTTTTTCGGCCGTCTTCCCCCTCTTCGTCGTTTGCTGGCGAGAAGAATCTTTTTTCTTCGACTTGACGTGTTTTGAAGGTGAAGGCTGGATGTCGTCGGAGAAAATAACTCAATTCTGCAGCAGTAGCTCGGAATCCGTAAATTATTCCCCCGTTTCCGGTGATCGATGCTGTAACTTTGACATCCAGTCAATAAATGGACGAGATGTGCCGAAGATTGCCTCCTCCGAAACTGCCCGAGAGCTTCTTCTCCCCGTGTTTCTACTTCTATTAATTATCTTCGTGACACCGACACGCGGCTTCTAGTCATTTGCATAATTTTTTACCTTGTCACCCAAATCGAATCTAACCCCGTCTTCGATCTGGGCGGATCTTTAAATTAGCTTCCACCTGCTCTAGCCACTTGCCATTGATGACCATTTGTCACTAATAAGCCTCACTCCGTCATCGTTAAACGCCATCAAACTTGATTTATATGCCCTCTTCCACTCTTCCTACGAAAATCTGTAAACATTCCACTACTACAACTACTCGAAAATTACGTGCGTAACGTCCGATAACACTAGCAAAATGGCGCCAGTTCTTCCCGAAAACTACCCATAAAGCAGGATTAGGAATAAGGCACGTATCAAATTTCTTACGTACAATCATCAAATTAATTTTCCAATTCACTTAAACTAACAGATTTCCTAAAACTAGCGACCAATCTTTCTTGCAAACGAGCATTTCTTTCTTTCTTTCTTCCTCCTCTTGATTGAAATGACCCGTTACGTGCAGCAATAAGCATCAATTTGTATTAACAAATACGTCTAATAGGAAGCCACCGATTCGTCGGAGAACTCGTTTTAAATAAATTATATATGATTAAATCTCGTCACAATTTATACACCTTATACAACACAAGAACGTTAAAAAGAAAAATATAACATAATGGCCAGTTTTTACCGAAGGATTCGGCGTTACGTAAAAATATTAAAATAATTACAAGGTTGTACTAATCCCTGGCTTTGGTCCGGAAGAAAAACAGAAAGGGGGGGGGGAAGTTTTTCCTTTAATTTTGTTGTCCCAACATCTAATGGGAAAAGTAAAGGACGACGACGTTTGGTCGTTTACCATCTCGTCATTTCCGCTCGCGTTCCATTTGGCGAAGAAAGTAGAGAGGTGACGACGTTTTAATGACTGGCTAGGTGCTGCCTGCCATTATTATGTCAATGAAGTTGATGGTTTGCGAGTAATTGTTGTTTGTCTTTGAATACGCGCGGTTTTTATCTGTCAGCACTCGTCCGATAATAGCTTTACCAATGCTAAACGCCTTCCGACTAATCATCATCCGTCTCTATCTATTAAGACATCAACCCACTCCCTATGGGCGAGTGATGCTCTTCTTACTTTATTTACCGTTCTCCACGTGCTTTAGCAGGTTTTTTTTTTTTAGCATTCACAAAAACACAGAAATCACGCGAGTCTTAAATGAAGACCAAGAGCCAACCGTAGACAAACGGTTTGCACAATTTCAATTATAATTCGTCTTGGCATTCCGTATACATATTGCACAACCGTTTATCTTGTTAAAAATGCATTTAATTACAATCTGAATAAGAAAATGAAAGGAACGAAAAAATTTATTATATATTTTGCCAAAAATTTATTTATAAATTACCTTGTTCTTGTGTAATAAAGTCAAATAAGGAATTTTTCCTCCACATATGTCCTTTATGGTGTGCACAAAATCTTCCATTTTTCTGCAAAGAATAAGATTAAATTAAAAAAAATATATATAGTCGACCCCCCTATAACACTGTTGATAATTCCGTTTTATATGAATTCCATGTTGTACGAGTCACTTAGATTTTACAAATACCTGTGCCGTTCACAGCCCGGCACACGTATTTGTAAAATCTAAGTGACTCGTACAACATGGAATTCATATAAAACGGAATTATCAATAGTGTTATAGGGGGGTCGACTGTAATTTCTTTTGTAATTGCTTTTAGATATAACATGTGTTTGAGTTCATTTTATAAAATTATTTTTGTAGTATAACAGGTGTTAATCCAATGGATAAATCTCTCCTGTCTAACGATGTAGGAGGTTAATTCCGCCTTACGTCATTAACAAACATGCCCATATATAGTAAAATAAACCGGTTCTCTTTATATATGACCTTTATACGTATCTGTTAGGTCGATCTGTGATGTAATATCTATACCTGGATATTAAATATGCTTAGGAAACTATAAAAAAAAATATTGTTTCGTCAGATATTTCGCTACGTAAGCTGTGTTACAACCCTTAAAGAACCTCCTCAGAAAGTTCATTTTCCCTATTTTAATCGAAGATTTGGGATGATTAACACAAACTTTGAAGGTTATACAGCGTTTTTATACTTTAAGACTCAACAGGTTTAGTTAATTTTTATAAATTAAGGCCTCCTTTTTAGGTATTACAGAGCCCACGCCACCCACACTGTGTTGGTGTGGCATGTCTTTCGTGTATTTTATATTAAATTGTTTTGCACCTGTACTTAAAAAATAAATAAAAAACATGAAAATATATCGAAAACTTTCTTAAAAATTTATAAATATTTTTAAAAAAATCACTTGTAAAACTCTCATAATAGATTTTTCTAACAAATGTTTTTGGATTGACCTAATTTTTGGAATGACCTTATTTCGAAACTTTTTAAGATTGTTTTTTTTTGTATCGAAATCATAGAATTTTCACGATTATTTTGTACAGAATGGGAAGGAAATCGCACAGAATAAAGTTTTGTGATATTTGTTTGAAGACAGGACACATTTTCAATGAGCGAAAACCATTTATAATCGCATTACGTGATGTACAATACACGAGACTTCAGACTTTTTTCAAGGTTAAAATAACCGAAATAATTCTGAAAAAAACGTAAATTAATCTTCAAATATAACCAAATTAAAAGTTAATTTTTATGTTAATTAAAGTTTTACTTTATAAAAGCAGCTCAATGAAACAGATTTTGGCTTTTGTTCAACATAATCTCTATCATTCCAAGTATGGATTTCTTGGGTGGGGGTATCACGTCATTCTCAATCGACCAATGATGATAGAGAGTACATGCGAGGGAAGATGTACAGTATAAAATCTGCTCAACATCCGTGTACAGTTTAGACGAGTGATTCGTGCAGTTGCATTAAAGACTCAGCACGAACGACTCTTCACCATTTACAGCCAATTTTTTTTATAATTTAATTTTACAACTTTCTCGCAACACATTCTAAAAAAATGGTAAGTATATTTTTACTTAATTTTCTAGTTTAAAATTTAATTTGAATGTAAGGAATAATGCGATTTACTTAAATGAATATAGGGAGTGATTTGCTCCCACTTCCTCCTAGACTGAGCCGGATTTACACGTAAGCTAAACAAGTTACAACTTAGTGACTTAATCTAAAAAGATACGAGTTAGGGCCTCATTCTACGAGGGCCTCACGTTTATAACTTATTAAACTAGTTACTAGCGTGTACAGGCTTTTTGCGTATAGTATATGTTATAACTTAGAGAACCAATCCGTGCCCTTCGTATGGATATAAATGGAATATAGTGAATAATTTATGTATAATCTTATTATTTATATTGTTTAATTAGTTTTACTTTCAGTAGAGATTTGTCGTATTTAATTATTTATAGTATAATTATATTATCGCTGTGTTAGTCGTGGTCTGCCACGTTTGCAGAGAGCAACGTTCTTTACAACTTGGATAAATTCCAGAATCACGGCTTGTTATTCGTAAAAAAAATCAATTATAGTTACTTTTCTGACCTAGATAAATCTTTTCGTTTTATTTAAATTAAATCTGCACGCATTCATTATTTTATTTTATTTTTTTTCGATTTTAATATTCGTAAAAATCGTCACGAAACTTTTATACTTCACCCGGAAATGTCGAGTTAACTTTACTGAATGGAGTCTTAATCCTTTCTTCGATCGATAAACTTGCTAATTTATTATATAAAGTTTTAATTACTATTATTATTTTTTCTATATTTTAGCGTGAGTGTATCAGTGTACACATCGGCCAAGCTGGTGTACAGATCGGTAATGCCTGTTGGGAACTGTACTGTGTCGAACATGGCATTCAACCAGACGGACAAATGCCAAGTGACAAGGCTATGGGAGTTGCAGACGACTCTTTTAATACATTTTTCAGCGAAACTGGAGCGGGAAAACACGTGCCACGTGCAGTTTTCGTCGACTTAGAACCAACTGTAGTGGGTGAGTAACACTTCACTTTGTAGCAGACACTCGAGAGTCTGCTATAAAAAAGTTTCCTATAGGGATATTAACGATTCTAATTAATATTTTCGACTTTCAGATGAAGTCCGTAATGGTAGCTATCGACAACTTTACCATCCTGAGCAGCTCATCACAGGTAAAGAAGATGCTGCTAATAACTATGCCAGAGGACATTATACCATTGGGAAAGAGATAGTCGATCTTGTTTTGGATCGTGTACGCAAACTTGCCGATCAATGCACTGGTTTACAAGGTTTCCTCATCTTTCACAGTTTCGGAGGAGGAACCGGTTCCGGTTTCACCTCTCTTTTAATGGAGAGACTTTCTGTCGATTATGGCAAGAAATCAAAACTCGAATTTTCTATTTATCCTGCACCACAGGTGAGTTTCGAATATTATCATGACAATATTATTCAATTTTTACTTATTAGTCACCTGGGTAGCAGTATGGAATCGAGTCACGCTTCCATGAGGAGGGTCCGGATTCGTGGAGCGCTTGTAGTCTAGATTAACTCTATCCTTCTACCTCCCAAGTGACTTTTTTAATGAGTGTTAACGAAAACAAAGAGTAACACTATCGATTTTTCCAGGTTTCCACAGCTGTAGTAGAGCCTTACAACTCCATCCTCACCACTCATACCACTCTAGAACATTCCGACTGTGCTTTTATGGTCGATAATGAAGCCATTTATGATATCTGCAGACGTAATTTAGATATCGAACGTCCTAGTTACGCCAATTTGAATCGTTTGATCAGCCAGATCGTTTCCTCAATCACAGCATCTCTTCGCTTCGATGGTGCACTCAATGTCGATTTGACTGAATTCCAAACTAACTTGGTGCCTTATCCCAGGTAATTAGTAAAAAATTAAGCGAATAAAACCCAATTTAATACCTTGCTAACATCCATTTTCAATGTTACAGAATTCATTTCCCTCTGGTGACGTATGCACCTGTCATATCCGCCGAGAAGGCCTATCACGAACAATTAACAGTGGCAGAAATTACCAATGCCTGCTTCGAACCAGCCAATCAGATGGTGAAATGCGACCCACGTCACGGAAAATACATGGCTTGCTGCATGTTGTACCGAGGCGATGTCGTGCCTAAAGACGTCAACGCAGCCATAGCCGCCATCAAGACCAAGAGAACTATCCAGTTTGTAGACTGGTGTCCAACCGGTTTTAAGGTATTTTTACCTTACTTTATGACTATNCCCCCACCAGTGGGCGAGTGGTCTCCGTTGCCGCTCATCGTAGTGGTGACCAGACCCTAAAGACTGGGAGGTTCGTCGTGGGTTCGCGCCACGGTCGGACAGGCTGGCTGCTTGGAGTTTTCCGGGTTTTCTCCTTGCCTATAACGACTGAATAGGAGGCCAGTTCCCCATAAAAGTCCTCCCGGAAGGCATTTATTTCCCGCGCGTACGTATGGCTGTGCGATACAGCCGGCTAATCGGTCGCCTAGCGATCATACACAAACACAAGTCTACTCGGAGAAAGAGCCGACAATGAGCTATAATCTCCATATAAACACCATCGAAGAAGAAGAAAGAAATACGCTGGGCATGCAAAAAGATCCTCTTAGTGTCCACAGGGTGGAGAGCCACTGTAATCTTTTATGAATTTAATAACAATAAAATTCTGTTATTTAGATATTGTGTAATTGATTTTAGGCAGACTTTAAAAAAGGAGAACGTCCCGACTCTAGATGTCACCGAACAGATGACAGTGTTCAATAGTCTAAAGAGTATTCGGTCGAAACTGGACTTTTGGCCACTCTACCCACAATACAACTCTGTAGCACAATTGGATTGCCAGATTGCCAGAGCGTTCGTCGGATATTTGTGCCATTCAGTTGAACTTCCAACTAAACGGGGATGTGACAATCAATGCGTTTCGTATATCTAATGAAGCGGTTTTTATCTGCTGCATAATACATTACCATCTTCATTTCCCTAGACACATAAGCGCAGTGCCGTAATTAGCCACTCCTGTGCACTGTGCAAGAATATTCATTTAGGCCCCTTAATTAATTAGGTTTGGGAAAATAATAAAACAAATACATGAATTTTGGGCCCTGTGCAGGTGCACCTGTTGCACCTGCTTAGATACGGCACTTCATGAGCAGGTCTGGGTTTTTCGGAGCCTAGGGCTTATTGAAGTCCAGTTTAGTCCCATTTTTTGTTAGATTAAGAATCTTTAAATTGGGGTTTAAAATTCATTTATAAGGCAGGCTTGCCTTTATTATTAGTCTCTTTATAATATTAGAATTCGAGACAGTAGATTTAAAATTGCAACTTGGTGACCTGACCAATTATTATTAACTATTTTTTACTATACGATAAGTGCTCATTGTTAATGATGAATTATCATAATAAATTTTTAATACTTTAATTTTTGTGGGTCCTTGACACTTGGGACCCCAGGGCTTAAGCCCTATTAGTACTTGTATAATTTAGATCCGCCCCTGCCTGGACCCACCAGAGCCGAGTCGTTAAACCATTAAATACTGGTAGTTGGCCCAGGATTCGAGTCGTGAAATTTTACTGTTTTTCTTCACGTGTCCTATACAGAGATCAGTTTCCCATAGAAAGTCCTTTGGGTCTGTCCGTAAATGACGTTCCCACTGGAAGGGAGTTAAGGATTATGACAAGGGTTGGAAGGGTTGAGCTTAAATAAACGTCCATTTTATTTCATTATAAATTTTATACACATTTTATTATTCATAAAGTGATAAAAGTTTCGAGGGGGTTGAGTTTTGTTGGATGTCCGAAGAGTGGAGGGGATTACGGAAACTTTAAATGGGAGAGTATGCATTTAAAAAAAAAAAAAAAAATGCGGACATAATTTATGGACAACAGTGGTGTGCGGTGATATTTGATGATAGGGAAGCTGTGCCGGCCCTGGATAGAATCATTGGAAGCGTTATACGATATTTTGGTTGAGTAGCATCCACGAGAGGTTGCTGCCATGTAAAGCGCATAATCTGGCTCAGGGCCGGATTAATCCACTTTGAGCCCCCAGACATTTTCTTCTTACCGGGACCCTCCAACATAACACAATTTCTTTAGATTCTAGAATTCACAATAACCATATAAAAAGCAATATATTTTTGTTTATTATATACAGTTGCCAACAGAAAAGTAAACTATCTTATTTACAAATAAATCATCCAACATCTGATGCTGAGAAAAACGTTTATTTAAAGAAACATTAACGTTTTTCTCAGCATCAGATGTTGGATGATTTATTATTTAAGGAGCTGAGTAGATATTTGCTTATTTACAAATCTTTCCAAATTGACAGTTTGACCGGGCCCTAGACATTTGTCTATGCGATGATCCGGCCGTGATATGGCTACCATTCGAACATTTTTGCAGTAAAAGCTATCCCGTATTCGACAATACAGCGCTTCCATTAGAAATACAGTATGCATATACAAATTTATATCCGAGTATACAATAGCAATCTTATCGTTGTCTTTCACATGTATAGAAATTTGTAATAAGATACATAATGCTGTTATAATAAAATATTAATTTTAAGTAATTCAAAGTACGTTAAAATTTGAAAATAATCGCACAATACGTATTTATATTTTAGAAAACAGAAGGAAAGCGGCGCTTCCACAGCTTCCATGGACGGCACGCCACTGACATTACCTTTCCTCTTCTTCCTACGCCTTCTATGAAATATTTTAAATCTAACGAAATAAAATTCGGTTATTCTTATTAAACACTGCAAACACGAGAAAACCGAAAATATTCTGAAAATAATACATCGGAAGTGATCTCGTTATCGAATTCTGTTTTGTCATGAACATTACGATAGGGTGCGACTATGCAGGCGCGAATCTAGTAGCGAGCGATATAGTTTTCGCAAAGGAAAACCATGCATAAGAGAGAAATCTCGCTGGCGAAAGGAATTTCTGGCTCTCGCAAATATCTGAATATTGATATTTATCGCGTCTTGCCTATGTGCTTTTTTTTAAACTCCTTCCGCCCTGTGGGCACTAAGAGGGTGTCTTTTTTAGCAAGCCCATTATGGGTTCGGCCAGGCCCACAATGGAGCGTCCGGGTGGTGAGCCCAACATATCCAGTGGGATCACCCCGAAAAATTCATGGGATTTATCGACCCATCCCGATTCGAACTCGGGTCCCCCAGAGCGGTTGGCTGCCATCTTTACCGCTCGGCCATCCGCCCGTTAACGTATGCGTTCATTATGAAATAATCCTAATAAGTTTTTCTTTGCTATTAGTACGAGTCGTAGTCGAACCATTTTAGTTTTCATTTCCATACAGTGTAATAATTCGCATTTCTCTGTGACGAATTCAACGCCAATATGTGACGCCATTTTCTCCCGTTCGCTGGCGTCGGTGTAATTGCACTGTACTTAACGAGAGCGAGAAACGACATCACCTCTTCTCGCTCGCTCGCATCTGCATACTCGAACAAATAGTGATGAAATATTGTCGTACCTTACGAGATGTTCGTAAATCCGATTCCAGATTCGAATCTGCTCCGTAACTCACAAAGGAAATTTTGCTAATTATAAAATTCGAGCGGATAATTAAATTAAATATCCTTAATTTAAATGAGTTAATATACTTAATTAACCTATTCAATAATAAATAATCTCTCAAATGATTTCTTCGAATTTGTTTAATTAAATTAAATAAGTTTCTTGCATTTAGAATAATAACTGATACCAACAAATACTTTATAGTATGAAACAAGTTACAAGTTCTAAACTATCAAATTTCTATTAATTATTACTGAACTTTATTGGCAGAGAACACTGTTCAAAATTTAACAACTTGGAACTTACTACTTGGAGGTAGTTGCTTGTAAAGTTCTGCCCCCGACCGACCTCATTAAACTATTTTGTAGTGCTGGATGTCGAGAGAATCAAAGATTGTTGTGACAATGTCTCCGATCTTCTCGATAACACCTCTGAACAAGATATGATCCTGACTCCCCCGCTGGAATTGGAAACAATTATGCTGTGCTAGTACTTCAATTGAATAACCATCGATGGTCAATGTATACGAACATCAATATTCCATTCAAATAAATGGTTTTGAATAGGCATAAGTATGTTGATTACAAATGTTGACATTTCTGTTTTCCCTCCTCAGTATGTCAAGGTTATTACACAAATCATCTCGTTGATATGGTGTTGCTTCTAAGAACAAATTCAGCTATGAGCAGTATAAGTAGATTAATCACACCAAAAGAATGTGATCAATAAATCACAGCATGTGAGTGACCCAAACAACTGCTCTACTCTGACCAAACAGGAAGGAGTGAGTAGTGTAGAGGTTGGTAGTTCTGGACTAGTACTACTATACAAGTTCTCTGAATGATTGAATAATTTCTGTAAGAGTTCAGTGACTGAATAAATGAATGACAATTTAGTTATGGTGTGAATGGAAATTTTAAATCTGCAAGGAATGTTTTTCAAAGTGAATAAAATGAAAATCATACTAAAATGATTAATTTGGTACATTTCAGTTTGATTTATGTTTAATGTAACAGATAAAATTTGTAAAAAAATTTATATTAAATTTAAATTAAAAATTTGTTGTTTAGAATCACTTGGTATTATCAAATAAGTCGGCAATGTAATTGTAAATTAGTTGATTAAGAATATCAGAATCAATGCTGAATCTACCAGAATTTTGTCTAGAACATAAAATGACTCAAAAAATATTTGGCAAATTCTGTAATTTATAAAATTTTAATAATTTACACAGTTTTTCCAACTCTGCCCTGTGGGCATGAAGATAGTCATTTTTTCCAAGACCTGTTGTGGATTTATAAATCTACAATGGGAGTAGCTGGACGATGGGGAACAAGACCACATACTTCCCTCAAAAAAGTTCTCCATCTCTCTAGATTCGATTCCAGGTTCTTTAACCATCTTGGGTGAATGACCACCTTATTTACATGTTTTTATCATATACAGTACAATCAACAGCAGCTCCAGACTATAAAAATAGGTGGACACAAACTACAAAACAAGGTATCTTACATTATGGAAAAAGCTTCAAACTTCATGATGTCTGATCAGCATTTCCATAAGGTGGCATTGCTTGCACTCGGGGCTAACTTGGTCTTGAAAATAAGGAATGTGGTTTTGTTCAAAATACTATACAACAAACAAATTACTATATAAAAATAGTTACATGGAACAATGGGCAAATATTGTTCATTAGTTTTTTATATTTGCAAAATAGATTAGAAGTCATGAATTTTCTGTTTTTTGTTGATCATAGAATTTGGGGCCCCCTTGGAGATTAGGAAAATGGCACATACCCCAATGTACAGGTGCATCAGGTAATCAACTTTGGACTTTATGAAAACTTCCAGATTCAACATTCTCCAGAACAGTGCATTGTTTTTTAAAATTAATAACTTATGATGTAAAAATAAATATTTATTTTTATTATATTCTCTGTAGAACTATTATTAATTCACAGTGCTTTGTGTGAGGGAACAAATCAACAGGTACAGCCAAAATTGGAGTAAAAGGATGTGTTACCTTTTCAAATCTTTTAGTTCGTTTACAAAACCTGAAAAATATATTCATCAATTAGGGCATTAGTTCATTCAGAAGCTAATGTTGCAGTCCTCAATAAAATACTCAACTGTAAAATATTCTCTGCAGCTTTTCCTTCAGGTTTGCATGATACATAAATTATTTTCTGTAGATGTTTACAGTCTCTCAAAGTTTTTATGACACTATTTTCTTAAATATTAAATTATTATTATTATTATTATTATTATTATTATTGAATGATTCACTGGTTATATATTATAATTTTATAAGAAAATATTTCAATACTCACTTAAACCTCCTCTGGAAGGATTGAGAACAACAATTAAATCTTCTGCATATAATTCAGATAATAAAGAAGGGAGAAAAGCTTCAGCATTTTCCATAAAGAATGTTGAATTTTTTATTTCTGAAATAAAAAATCTGAATAAATTAATTCAATAAAAGTGCTAATATCATTCATATAATAAAAATGTTATAAAATTTTAATACCATTTAGTTCAGCATTAGCTACAGCATCTTCTATAGCCTGAGAACTCGATTCAATACCAATTGTACGTCTAACATTATTTGCAATAAATAAACTAATAGCACCTAACAATGTATAAAAATATAGTTATCAAGTGAAAATAATATTTTGTAAATATAGTTTAAAAATATAATATAAAGCTTTATATTANAGCTCACGTATTTGTAAAATCTAAGTGACTCGTACAACATGGAATTCATATAAAACGGAATTATCAATAGTGTTATAGGGGGGGTCGGCTGGTATATATAAAACATGACCATCTAATCTAAATATAATCAATTATATTTATAGAAATGACTTATATAATATTTTAAAAATAAATAAAGAAAACAAGTAATATATTTATATATGTACTGTACGTTAGGTAAAGGGTTCTATATCGTTCAATGTATCCGACTAAATTTGACAGGAATATTCTTCGACACTCTAGGAAAAATACTGTAGGGATGATTGGGGTGGAGACTCAAAACCATCCCTAAAGCCCTCTTAACTTAAGCACGAGCAATTTTTTTTTTTTTTTTGTATTTTACAGTTTGATTATTATTCATTATTCAATACTGTAAATACCCGAGTCAATAAGACCATTATTTTTATCACCCTCTACCAATCAACTTCACCAATTCTCACCCTCTCACACGCAGCTAGTTTCTAATTAAATAAATAATTATAACCAAACCGTAATACATTCTTTCCTCCTTAATAACGCCATTAAATCTCGATATTTCGATATAATAAACATTTATTAAATTCGTTTCCGATAGAAGAATGAAGATTTTCTGTTAAGACGTTTTCTCTGGCAGTAAAGCATTGACGAGAAGGAAGAGATTGTGACGTAAAAAAAATAAGACATAAAGACAATGCAAGGACTCATAACGGTTAAGAGGAATGCACTTTTATTGCCGTTCATTCAATTCAGCGCATTTACTTTCCCTAGGTTGAATTGGACGTTGTCAAAACGTTAATCTTAATCAAAATTGGCGCAATGTGGTGAAAGGACGTCGTGACTCATCGTTCTAGTAGAAAAATTCGTTTCTCGTTACACAATAAAATCACTGGAGAGACAAAAAAACTTGGTTAATTTGACGTTAGATCGAGGAAACGTTAATGCGGACTGCATAGGTCTCGATGAGAACGGCACCCGAAACCATCAAAAAGGTCGTAAAGACCAACCGAAATTATGTGGGATACGGTTTCGTACCTTCTTTATTTTTGCATTAGATGATTGCAGGTTGTAGTCTTCCTTTGCCATCGGCTTAATTAATGAGTAATTAATAACATCGAGCTGTACTTTTCCTCCCAAATCGGTGCCAGTTACTTAATTGTACATAATAAGACTTGGATTGATGGTAGCTAATCATCTTTTGATGGTTTACTTAGTAGCGAAGACAAGACCGCCATTAAAGTCATTTCCTAACGGGCTAATGTTGTCCCCCTCCCCCGATCAGGCGCATTGGTTAAAGTTTCAACAGAATTATCGTAAAGAATGGAAAAATATTAGGAACGAATAAATTATAATTTTTAAATTTACTCCAGATGGTTAAGCGCGCGTACAACGTGGAAGAAAAGAATGCAATAGACTAATTTTATGAATCTGTGAGCCTTAGGATTTATAACACGGGCGCAAACAACCCATTCGGACCTCCAATATGTTAAGTGGTACAGGGTACCCAAACTCGAAGGATTTCTAACGGGCCCCAAACGTGATGGATTTAAAAGTCCTTCGAATTTAGGGCCCTGCACCCACTCTAAGGGGCCAAACGGATTGCGGCCCCCGAGAATTGGCGCCCGTGATTTAGAATGAAGTAAAATCGTGGAAATGTGTGTAAATATTTTCACACACAACCTATTTTTGTGTATAAAATTCCGAAGAATGCGAAGAAAAAGAGTTGTCGCAGTAATTTGTTTTTATTATTTTCTGAATAATTGCCGTTTTGAATAAAGTTTTTGAACGAAACGAACGTTCTACGGCATTGTTATTTTGTAACATTGTGTAGGCTACGTTTTTCTATGTATTGTGATGTAATTTATGTACGTGTTTGTAAACACCTTATTGTGTTTTCTACAATTGAAAAGCGGCTTAACGTAGAATGCTTCTTTTGTTGTCAGAAAAAAAATCGTTATTTTCGCCATTAAATTAAAGATTATTATTATTTTAAAATCAAAGAAATTTCATTTTTAATTAATGAATCAAAGACGTAGACGTGTGTATATTTTTAAAAATTATTATTACGTTAAAAAAAAGAAAAAGAAATTTGATTTCTCAGTTTAGAGAGCGGCGATACAATTTGGCTCGTGTTTCGGGCATAAGAGGCCCCCAAAAATTCACTTTTTATGTCAAAAATACGCTAAAGAACGATATAAATTAAGGTTTCTTTTGATAAGATGTGAATAAAACCTTGTTTTTACTTGTTTTATTGTGATATTTTTATAGCTTTCGAAGAGAAATAAGACACGATTTGTGATTAGTTCAGCCCACTCATCCCAAAAAATTAAACATTTTTTCTTCCTAAAAAAAATAAAATAAGAATACATTCAATTAACTAATGTACGTAAAAAATTAAATAATTAAAAAAGTAATTATAAATTATGATACGGTTAAACCTCCGTACAGCGGCCACCGATAGACACATAAAAAAATGGCCGCCGTTCGGAGGTTAACAAGTAAAGTGTTTTTCTGTACGCCATTTTCGAAGACAACAACGAAAAAAATAATCATAAATTACAGGCAAAATGGCGCAGATTTTAAAGGAAATTGATTCGAAAGAATGTGAATTAATTTACAAGATTAATTGAAGAAACTAGAATTATATAACCCTGTATTAGTTATATACAGAGGGATACAGTGTAGCTACAGTAAATATGTTTCTTCAGTACAGTTTTAAGTGGAGGACGTGTGGAGGAGACCAACAAGATCAATTTTCTCAAATTAACTCCATTCTTTCGTTTATGAGATGATATCGGGATTTTGAAACTGTCAATAGTTTCGTATGGATAATATATAAAATGCATAACCGGAATATAAACTTTTTTCACTGTTTTCAAACGGTTTATGTCATTGCCTACTTCATTCAACTGTATTAAACCCCTTTACCAGGTAACCGGCCTAAATTATTACTGAAGTAAAATAAGATACATATTAAACTATGTCTACCGTGCTGCCATCTAGTGGCGGAAAGAATTATTAATTTAATGTAGAAAACTACTTTACGAAAATCATCGGAGCGGACGGACATTTATTTCTTCCTCTTTTTTTCCACTCATTCTTTCTGTAAACTTTGCCAAAGTCGAAGGAAAAAACGACAAAACTATAATAACTCGGCAGATCGTCTTTTCGTTTTCTGCATGGCTCAAGCCGTTTCTTCTCCCCTCCCTCGTATCTCCTTCGACCTAACTAATTAGGACCATTACGTTTCCGGATTTAAAGAAATAATTATCCTTCGTATCCGTACAAAAATTACCCATGGATAAACTAAAATCCTTTGTAACGTTCCTTATATTCCTTGAAGGATTCTAAAAACGTCAATTACTCTATAGAAAATGACTTTATGGCTTTAAATTCGCTTTAAAATCGTATTTTATATATTTTCCTATTCGTATATTTTCATCCCAACTCGATTCTTAAACTAAATTGTCTCCATTTTACAGATTTTCATTAGAAATAAACATAATTCCTAAAGCGGTGTACACTTGTACGGATCCATTAACTTATCCGATTTAAAAATTAATTAATACAACAATTTTTCCATCTAAAATTTGATTTAAATAAAGAATTTTCTTCGATTTCCCATTTTAAATATTTAATTTATGTATGTTTTTCTTTCGAGAAATATACGAAACGTATCGATTTCGGGTTCGATTTCCATCTGTAAATATCTCGAGAATTAATAGAAAATGGGCAATTATTTTCGTGGAAATTATTAATTTTTCAGCAAATATAAAGTCAATAAATGCTCGAACGGTGGAAAGAATTACATTAAAAAAAAAATTCTTATCGATCTTCGAAGAAAGTATATTGGCCTGACAATTAACTAGAGGTAAAGATAAATAAGGTTTTGGTAAATAGCATACTTTCGAGAGGGAACAAAGAAAAAATATATATATATTCAAAACTGGTAGGAATAGCGCATAAAATAGGAAGAGAGAAGGGGGGAAATGGTATAAACGAGGTTGGCGAGAGAAGAAGCACGCACTCGGATAGTATAGCTAATTCGTGGATTGTCTCGTTCGATCCAAAAGAGAGAGGATCTGCAAAATGTCTGGGAGGTATGGAAAGGTCGTGACACCAGGTCCGGAATCTGGCAGGCAGTAAATCAGGACATCCCGCCACGTATGACATCGGACACAAAGGCAGAGTAAGTTATTGGGATAGAAAAGGGCGAGAAACAGACGGAGAGGCCTATTATGGCTACCAACGAGCAAAACACGAATGCGGTGGCCACAAACTATCGCTTAATGTCGCTCGAGCGTTATAATAATGAGCTGCTTGTATATCCGCTGCACTGCCGAGTTCACAGATCAACAGACATCATACTTTCCCGATAAACACCGCCTTTATCTCACCGTCTACCTTTCACCTACTTAACTACGGAAGAAGAAGAGATGTAGATACGTATAAATCTGCACCCTCTAAAACTCGGATATGTAAAAGAAGAAGAGGAATTAATCTACAACAGAGAAATCGCTGTTGCTGTATAAAAGAGTAAGCTAAACATGTCACATGGGTGTCGTCATCTCGATTTCTTTAGGTGTAAAAGCTTTCATATAAACAGGAGTAGGTGTGGGAGGTTAGTGATTTGCAACACCGGCTGAAAGGTGCCATACAAGTCTCGAATGGGATTCGATAAAATAATAGAAAATCGCCTACGTTACCGTTTTTTCGGGATCACACCTGGGTTTAACTCATTTCTAATCTACACCCCTTTAAACATGTGGTTCACCTTGAATAAGAGGGTGGATGATCTACATATGGATTAAGCTGGGAGGGACGACCGAACGTTCGGAGAGCTGACAAAATAAGAAGAAAGATGCGGATACGTGCGAGATGAAGGGTCAAAGAAGAATC